TAATAATTATGTTATTAAACATAATATTATCGTATCGCTGGCATTTGCAACACAATTTTATTTAAAATCTGGGAACTGCGAAACTTGCAAGGGACATTACTCTGAAATAAATTGATAAAAGTAAAAGCAAGCTAGATATCTACAGCTACACAGAGTAGTAGTAGAGTTACAGGAGTCGTTCGGTGTACAGTGCGTGCATAGGATCAGATTTTTTATAAAAAGTACATGACACTTTTTTTTATATATAGATCTATCTATCCAACTGACCGTAAGTTTCAATGTATTCCTTAATGACAGGAGCAGATTACAGGGACATTCGTTCTGTTCAGTTATCATCTCTTCATATTCACTGCTTTACTTTGTTGATTGTCAGCTTCCCAAAATGGCCTTTCTCCCAAAATAACAAGTTTTTACTGTCACGTCTCGTTTTGCCAGCTTGCAGATGTGGGGAAGTAAAATTATACTTAAACTTTAGTTAACCAATCGCTATTGGGCAAAATGTAGTTACAGTCTGTTTGTACAAGTAGAATCTAGATCTAGATCTAGATCTAGATCTAGTTTGTTTTGTATGCGACCAGAGGTTGCACTCGACCAGGTCCACTTGTCATTGTCTTAAGTAGGCTCTAGAAGTCTAGAGGCTTAGGCAGGCTCAGGAGGCGCCTTAGGCCTTATATACTTACTTAACTATGACCAAAGATACTACACCCCTACGGCCTACACGGTAAGATGCTGCAGCTCCCTCTTTCCCTCTGTAAAAAAAATGGGTGCTTTTTCGGTAGTTCCAACCCCCCTTATTTGAGCCTGACCTAGATCTAGATCTAGATCTATATGTTTGATTCGCGGTGAGCTAAGATATCAAACCTAACAACTGCAAAACATTAAATTATGGTAAAATTCAGGGGGGGCATGCCCCCCTGAAACCCCACTTCCTATTTTTATTAGGTCAGGGGGGCAAGCCCCCCTGAAACCCCCCTACTCTTGTGGTCCAAACCCGTGAATAAAATTGCTGGGTGGGAACTACCGAAAAAGCGCCAAAAAATGTACCACGTTTAAAATAGGCCACGCCCCCAGCGAGCGTGTGACTGAGCCCCGATGGCTTGGCACTGGGCTTGTTGGATAGAGTAGAATGAGAGTGTCCTTGTTAATTCTACTCTAGGGCCCATTCTAATCTAGAATCTAGATCTAAATAATTATATAGATCTAGATCTATATACCAAACTATCAAGGTATTTTAATAATTTATGTAGATCTAAAATATTTAAAAAGGAAAACATTAGATTAAAAAATAGCCTCACTTCGGTAACGAGTGATAAGATCAGAGGGTGAATTTTTACTTTCACTCCCGCACACAGATGCACTGTTTCAGGTCAAACTGCTGTACTGTTTGCTGCAGATCACACATAAAGCCACTAAAACTGTCGCAAATCAATTATTTTCAAGACAATTTCAAATCTAACTGTAAAAAATCAAATTATATATATGTAAAAGGCCTTCCTCTATGTAAAAACAGGGGGGCATGCCCCCCTGTAACCTCCCAGATTTTCTTTTACACCAGTGGGGCAGGCCCCCCTGGAACCCCGCGATTGGTAGAAGCATGTCAGACATGTCTATCTCGGTTAAAAACAATCAAATATTTCAAAAAAACTATTAATTTGCGACGGAAATGAAGTTGATATTCATGTTCAGCGCATCAATATTTAGTAGAAAATAGACAACTGGTAGCTGAGTGTGAGACGGGAGGGAAAGTAAAAAAATACAGATCAGAGGATAAATCTATACCGGGTGCATAGTAGGCTCACGATCTACTAGAATCTAAATCAAGATCTAGTTCTAGGCCTAGACCTAGACATTGACAATCACGAAATCTAGGCCTAGAGCAATATTATTGATCGTATTGATGACAGGATCTTTAGGAGTATGCATTATTAGACATCAAAAGATAGTGTCAATTAGTATTAATATTAGATATACCAGGGAAGACTGCAATAGCAGAATAGAGAGAGAAAGAGGGGGGGGGGGAACTAAATAAGCTATTACAGTTAAAACGACAAACATGCACACAGAGAGATAGATGAGTGGGTGACTGAGTGAGAGAGAGAGAGAGTACAAAGAATACAACATAGAAGTATATTTTATGTCTCTCTCTTTTCTAAGGGCTCACCCAGTGACACAGTCACCTATGCACTCATTGGACCTTCGTTAGGTTCTTTCAATTTTCCTCGACTACACAGCTGATACCAGCTCATCATAGACGGAATAATAATATGCTTGAGGTGCTGTGTGTGTTCCTGAGATTTAACTTATTTATATAAGTGTTATAAATCACGTCGTACCACTTTTAAGGCAACTTTTTCATTAGATGAAAATTAGAAAAAAATTTGGAAGGGGAACGGTTTCGTCCCCGCCATCCAGAAGAATCTAGAGCTAACTTAGAATAAAGAGATGGAAGACAAAGTTGATTCTCCTCATTCGAATTGTTCCTAAAATACCGTGGCTCACCGTGAGTATATGAAAATCATCATTGTTGAGCTCATAGCGCTTGATTTTTAGTAGTAAAGAAGTGGAACCAACCTAAGCCCCACCCAAATCTCGGTCCACCCACCGCCACTGGATGTTTGTGGAGGTGGTTTTTGTGATGCGCATGAAGATGATTTGATGATGATGTGATGGTGGCCATGATGATGATAAAATGTACAGAAGTGGTCAGGACATGGTGTGTGTGTGTGTATGCGAGCGTGCGTGCGTGCGTACAAATGTGTATGAGTATGTGTGGTGAGAGAGAATTGAATTGAATTGAATTAGACTTTATTGACTTTCGAGAATAAAATTACATAATAATCTACAACACAGAAAACATATACATCTATATAACATTTATTGCATCTAGAATCTAGTTCTACATCTAATGGAATGGACCCACACACAACAAAGTACAGAGTACAAAGCATTGGTCATAGTCAAGGATGCATGATGCAGAGAGTAAACAAAGCTTACAGGCTGGACTCTGATC